GCTGTTTGTCAGAAATTGACCTATCTTACCTCTTCCAAGATAACAGCAGGGAGAAGCCAAATTAGTTAAGAATTTTGGCTTACCCAGGAAAGAGCAGTGGGCTGATACATGCTGCTGAATCATGTCTGCTTGATTCCTGTCACCAGCAAAAGTGGTAGAAGAACCCCAAGCAGCTGTGTATAGTATGGTTTATTGTGATACATCAGTCAGCAACTCTCACTTGCTCTTCCTGGAAGATGCCCGTCAGAATCCAAGAAGTCGTGGCATTTGAGAGGAACAATGAAAGGAAAATGAAAACACCACCATCAAAAGAAACACAATTCAGCGGAGTCCAGATGTATTAGGTTCTGCCTTCAATTCACCTTGATGATTGCCAGAGTATTTTGCCCAGCTTTAGATAAATACTCTCTTAGTAGTTCTCAGATTATTCATTTTCTCCTCAGCTTCACTAGACTTAAGTTGCAGATGTTTACGTTTAAGTTGCAGTTATTTTATTATCTAACTAGGTAACAGTGCTAGTGAGTGTGGGGTATGCTCCCTGTTTATATAGGCATTCGTACAGAAAGAATAGTTGTTCCTTGGTAGAGGTTTGCCTGCATGCAAATTTCTCCCATTTACATGCTTTCTGAAGCGTTTGATGCCTGTATGTGGTTCCAGTAGAAGAGAATATACATAGCTCAGGGTTGAATTGTGAAGTCCTTGGTGCTCTGTGAACTTGGTTGTTTGATTGCAGACATTTCATTAGCCGGGTATTGAATGCCCATATAAACAGGCAGCAAGCACCACTCTCACTAGCACTGATGATGTTACCTAGTCAGGTAATGAAACTTCTGTAAGCAAACAACCAAGCTCAGCATCAAGGATTCCACACACACAAAAAAACATCCTTTACCTTTTTTAGCTGGCCAGTACAAGAAAATGATTCTCCCACTGTAGCACTGTTACAAGAAAGTCTGTGCTTTTTCAGAGGGTTAGAAAGTCAGAAGCAGAACAGATTGGAACAGCAAAGAGGTAACGCACTAAAATGTTATAGGCAGTACAGGTAGTCCTCACTTAGCGACTGCCTCGTTTAGCAATTGTTCGCAGTTACGACAGTGATGAAAAAGTAACTTTACAACCAATCCTGACATTTATGATCTTTGCAGGTTTGTAAAGCAAAGGAAAGCTGAAGTAAGATCATAAGCACAGTAGTGGTTTCGCTTAGCTACTGCTTTGCTTAACAACCAAGTTGCCTGTCCAATTATGGTCACTAAATAAGGACTATCTGTAATAGTTCTGAGGGAGCAATTTGTTTCCCTAATCTAACCTTTCTTCAATCTGCCCCCAGATGCATTGGATTACTACTCCCATCATCTCTATTGACTGAGTGATGGGAATTGTACCTTGACACACACACAGCTGTTGGCTGGAGAAGGTTGATATTGACTGTAGAACTGTAGTCTCTTGCTCAGTTCTCCCCAAGTGTTAACCCAAAGGAAAGCAAAGAAATGAAGAAGTAAAGCAGTCTAAATAGAGAGAAAAAATGCAGAAGAGGGGAAAGGGGATTTTCCCTTGAGTATATAAATGTGAAGGGCAGCAAAATTTCATTTTTGACATATTAACTCCTCAGTTTTTTTTTTTTTTTTTGCTATGGCTTAAATATTTATAATGTGTTGAATTCACTATGGATGTAACTACAGCCTGGTACATGGAAATTACAGTTGACTGAATTGATTTTTAAATTTTAGATCTCTGCTCATCATTGCTACCTCAGATGTCTTGAGGGCAAACTATAAATTAAGTTATTGCAGCTTTGATACGAGTTTTTTTAAAAAGTGATTTTTTGTGGCTTACTTAAGAAAACTTCTCACCCCATTGTTTCTTCCTCATGAGTTGTGCCAGGAACAGTGAAAAAGAAGTGAAGGGAAACAATGGTTGCCTTCTTAGGCTCTTCTCAGCATTTGGGGCAGCACTCTCTACTGAACAAGTTCATAGTTTATACATTTTTCACTAACATCTGGATGCATATTTTTATGCTTTATATTTCAGAATCTAGCTTCCTAGGAGAAAGGATAGGCTAATGTTGAGAGGCTAGTTTTCTGGGTGCAGCATATTTATTGTTGGATATCATACCATAAAAGGAAATGGCACCTTTGAGAATCCTTTAGGGAGGCCTGGAGTAATCTTGAAAACTGCTTGCCTGCATGTTTTTGCCTTCTTCTGCTAACAGAACTCAACAGTGTAGACATGCTATCTGGACACAAAAGCTGTTCATTCATCCCAGTTGACCAAGAAGGGACTGGCTTGCCTATTAAAAGTACAACCTCATCTCATTTAAAGGAGGCAGTTAATCAGAACATCATTTCTTTAAAACAGAAAAAAGTATTTTATTTAGCAGACTTGGTTTGTCTCAAATGTGCCACACTAGGCCTCATATAGAAAGTAATGTTGCTGCAATTCCAAGCACAGGGAAGTGGTAAGATTAGATGAAGCCATCTGGACTAGGTACGACCGAATGGAGCAGGTAAACACAGTCTGCTGTCCTTTCACATGATGAGCTGTCAAGGAAAATAACTGGGAGTATAACAGGTGAGGTTTCTCATTCTGGGGAGAGGAAATTAAAATGGGCTAGGTTGGCAGGAAAGAAGCTGTGGTCAGAGAGGTAGAGAAGAAGATGCTTGCCAAACCAAGTTCAATTTGAACAGTTTTGTTTGCTGAAGAAATGTTGGTTCCTAGGTAGACTGAGATCACTGAAGGGGGTTCCTAGGTTAATGGGACATCACTGCAGACAGAGGAGGACCATACTGTGAGGGATCAGTTTACAACACACAGAATTCCTGAGGGAGAAAAGGATCTAAAGATTAAAGCTGTACTAGCCACAAGAGGTTGCCAGCTAAGTTTTATCGAAAACCCTTGATTAATTCTAAGGGATCTTAATTATAGCTGTGTACATCACCATAAGTTAGATACACTGACTTCAGAAGAAGCATTACTTTGCAGACAGGTAATTAATTCATCACTGAATGGCAAAGAGTTACAAAGTAATGTTCCACTTTGCTGCATCCTAACCTTTTTATAGCAGTTGACCAGAGAAGGGACGTGGGATCCGAATATCTGTTTGTTTAATCTGTTTTAGCTGGGTGCCAAAGTATTCTATCTTGCAATTTACAAATAAAGCCAAGAAACTGAAGGTGGTTCAAAATGCTTTTTTTTTTTTGGTCATGTGGCTTTATTTATTGGGTCCTGAAAAGTACGTAGGCTTTCGTCTTGTACATGGTTGTTGTGATGAAGAGAACTTAATTAGTTCTCTTGCTCATCTCAGCAACTTCCAGTAGTAAACCTCGTACCCATCTGGATTGCCTGGAAGCCATTTAGAAACTCTTCTGGTGTGGCCGTTATTCATGCATTGGTTATATGTAGTCTGTATAGGCCCTTGTAGAGTATGAATGCAGAATGTGTGAACTGAGCTCCCAACTGATGCATGATGATGAGGTCATGCTGCCCCATTATTAAGGAGCTCCATTGGTTGTCAACTGTTTTCCAGGCTTAAATTCAAAGCATTTATCTTTACAGCTGTTACATGGCTTAGGATCCAGTTACCTGATAAAGCATCCCTTTCATTACAAATTTGCATGAGTAAAAATCTGCCCTTTTCAGTGTATTCCTACTCAGGGAACCCTGTCAATTAGACAAGTAAGAAGGCAGCTCACCTTGTAGCAATGTCAAGCTGGGATGGGTATTCCTTCAAAATTAAGCCTGTTTTGAACAATGCTTGATAGAGTTTGAAGATAATATTAATAATTGAACGTACTTTTATTATTTGTTTGGCGCTGGCTCATTTTAGTTGTAATGACTTGACGATGCCTATTAAAAACAATATGTAAATAGCATAAATAAGTAAATGTATTAGTCTGACGAATGCTTCCTGAGAAGCAGGCAAGCAAGTTGGATGAAACTTGCTATCAACTTAGTGTATTTCTCCCTGGTATCTGATTTGGATATAGAGCAAGTAAGCCTTACTAAGTATCTATATTGGCATTAAAATGCTCAGTGTTGTTGGCATTGCCAATATTGAATAGTTATTGTATACTAGAAATCATTATACGGCTCTGATTTTTGGAGAGTTACTGAACTGATGAGAAATCCACGCAGCTGGATAAGATGCCCATCAATTTTACTATGCCACAGAACGGTGTTGCATTTCTAAATCAAATGAATATGGTGTGTTTGAGAGTCCTTTTTAAATTAATTTGTTATACAGGTAATTGACATTTTCAGTAGGACTTCAGCACGTTGGGGAGAACATGGCCCTAGAGCAATGTTTCTCAGTCTTGGGAACTTTAATTCCCCATGCTGGCTGGGGAATTCTGGAAGTTGAAGTCCACCCATCTTAAAGCAGCCAAGGTTGAGAAACACTGACCTAATATAATTCTGTTCTACTTTGAGACACTCTCTGTGCTGCTGGTTTTCAATAATTTTGTACTGTCTTCTTGTGACGTGCTTTTTTATTCTTGAATGACTTTCTGAATGTATTTTTTACCAAATACTGGAATACTACATATTTATCAAAAA